GCAAAAAATTGCACGCATACAAACGCAACCGAATTGAAATCAAATCAAATCACTTTCACTGCAGAAAAAATAAATAAACAAACGGAAAGGCAAAAAAATCAACGACAGCAATAGCGACAATACGAAATTGAGGCAGTTGAAACTGTTTTTTTTTCAGTATTTTAATGCAGCAAAGCGGTAAGTGTTATTGTAGCAGCAGTGGTGAGGGCGGTTGTGAAGGCGTTATCGTTGGCGTGCGCGCGTGTGCAAAAATTCACAATGTAATTTTGGGAATTGCTAAAAATTTTAAGTTCAATTACAAGCACAAATGTAACACATGCACTAAGATTTCAGTTAATTTTTTTGTTTGCAAAATTCTGGCACTCATCACTTTGCTTACTTGAGAGCTTGAAGTGAAAAAGTTTCATATATCCGTTGTTAGCTTTGCCATTTAGTGTATTAATTCTTTTATTAAAATTCAAGTTTTGTAAACATTTTCCAAATTCTTTTAGTTTTATCCTTTTTTCGTCCTTTATAGACTTCAGTTAACACTCATTAAATTTACATTTCTCCATGCACACATAGTATCCATTTATTACCGCTAAGCTGAAGCAGAGATGCACGCGCGCGTACTCCACGAGTGTAAAGACGTTAATAAAATCGAATGCCGCTTGAGCTAACGGTAAAAAACCAAAATACTGTAGCGCTCAACTGACAATTCAGTTGCGCTAGTGCAGTCGCTGTCTCCGACGACATTAACGGCGAATACGGAATGCAGCGGTACACAATGTTGCCAAATCGACGTTTTTGCCGCGCGCGCTAGCTGTCGTAGAGTGAGTGAAGCACTCGAAATACCCAGCAGCGAGTAATTTTTAGGAGAGGCCAAAATCGTTCGAAACGCGTGACGCGTGAAAATCCCACTGATACGTAAATTGTGGACGACCTTCTTGAGTCGAAATCTCAAAGAAGTCTGAATTCGAACACCACTGAATGGCAGCAGGCAAGCGCTTGTGATGGCTAACAGATAGCAACGCTGTACCGAAACGTGCGCTTTGTAGTTTTGCAGCAAAACTCAGCGGCGAACTTGTCGCTCAAGCAAGTTCGTTGCTTAAGTCTTTGGTTTTTGTTTTGATGTGCTTCGTTCGCGAAGTGTTTGCCGCAAGAGCGAAATAAAAACGACAAACAGAAAACACACAAAAATCTGAAGTAGTAGGAGAAGAGTGAGAAATTACAAAAATGCAGACAAATATGTAATGAATAGTGGCATAGCAAATGTGCAGTAATGAATTATTATTGAAGCCACAGACAGAAAGGATAGTAATGGGGAACAGCAAAAGCAAATATGTTGCTGTTTTGTGTTGGTGGCGTTGGTGAAGCGCCTTCGTAAGCAGCTCTTGAATACGAAAATTATAAGATGATTGCGATTTGACGATTAAGAAACCGCTTTTTTATATACAAAACAACAAAAAGTTAAAAATATGTATATAAAAATCAAGAGGCAGCGAACACAGTGGGGCAGGAAATTAAATTCAGGCAGACATACTTAAAATAGTGAATACTACGGTATAAAAAATGCATGCTTAATGAACTATGAAGTTTGTGTTATTATACTAAATACAATTTTTAAAATTATGAATCCGATAAAATAAAAACATTTTTTTTTTATATAAAGGTTTATAATTTTTTGTTTGATATTAATGTATTTATCATCATCCTTTTGCTTTATGGGCTTTGGTAAAAAAAAATAGAACATTTTCTAGATTCTACCATCCCTTTTTAATTGTTTCGGGACTTTTCTTAAATATTCAGAGATTTCGATTTTTTTTTAAATTTATTGTGAGCTACCTAAATAAACAAATTTTGATGCCCCAAATCTCTCGACATGTCCGTTCTTCTATATGACACAGAAATATGGACGAATATCTGTGGCCCCGTTGGAGGGAGCGAAGATGGGATGGCAAACTTTACATTAAGGTGAAGCGAAAAAAGAAACGTTTTTCAATTTCGAAATTATAATAGCGCCGAAAAGTTGCATAACATGATCACTTTGAATGATATTAAATCGTTTTGCAATCGGATACTATTTACTGTCACCAAAAGAGTCTTAAAGTTTCGAAAAATCTTTCACCGTATGTATCTTACATGCTTTTATTAAATGATTTTAATTTAAAAAATTTTAAATTTCATGTGGTTAAAAAATAAGAAATAAGAATTTTGAAATTTCAAATATATGATATGATTTGTTTAAAAACTACTTAAAAGGCTCAATGCAAATTATGTAGGATAACATTTTGGGCACCAAATTAAAGAGAAAACTCCTCCGAATTAAAAAATTATTAAATTTTCTGGGTCACAATGATGAATAGGTATTGAAATAGGTATTCTAATTATTTTTATTTATTAAGCTAATTAATCCTGGAAGGTCATGGTTCGTCGTTTCGGCGACGCGAGTTTTTATTTCACCGTTATCGCTGTTTTCCTTTGTTTGTATAGTGCTAATTTTTCCTACAGCGCTAGACGGTGTTGTGCTGTTGATATGTGCGGTTACCTAGATTCATGCGCTTCGTGTAAGTACTTATTTTTTAAATGTGCGTAGTTAAAACGACGAAGAATGAACTTTGTGTATGTTTTACGTACATGTTTTCAAAGTAATTTTCTTAAGTTTTTTGTTTATTTGTTTATATATTTTACTTGTGCAGTTACAATACACGATGAATGCAACCAAAAGCTATACCGACGAAGAAAAAAAAATTGCGCAATTTGTTCCCCTTCTAAGCGACGCTTAACAAATCATCCTGTGCAAAATGCCAAAAAAGTCTCTGTGGAGAGCATAAAATAGAGCTTTGCGCCTCTTGCACAAAATGAGAACTGTTGTATCTGAAAATTGGTTCCTTTTTTAGTTCATAGTATTGTTTTTAAGAAAAAAACACTTTAAATGAATTATATATATTTATATATATTTATTTTTTATATTTTCTAATTAATGTTTTGTACAAAAATCCAAATGAATCCGAGCTGTAAAATCTTGAATTACAATCAAAAGACTAAAGAAAAACTACTTGATATTGTTTTATTTAAAAAAAATATAAACAAAATAATGTGAAAATAATAATTTTTGTGCATTTTGATATACAGGTTAATTTAATAACGCCTATTAGAAATGCCGTCGTAGAATCGACGAAGGATGACCTTTGCGTTATAAAAATAACGTTGACCTTGCAGGGTTAAAAAATTGTGTGGGACGCAGTTTCACAGTGCTTGGTCTTATAAACTTACTAAATAAACAACTTTGTTATGAGGTAAAAATTATAAAAATTAAAAATATTGCTCCGTAAAATTGCGAACTGAGCTAGACAGGAAGGGCAGATGGGGTTGCCGAACATAGTAAAGTGTTTGTATTCTGAGAGGTGACCAGTTAGCAATGCAACAAATAATCTTCAGTCGGATACGCTCCATGAAAGTATATATTTACCTAGATAAATCCTTTCAGATTAAGAACCCCAGGATGCCTCCCAGTAATTCTTTACTTAATGCAATATTAACCCTTTTGAGAAGCAGGTGGATTCGATGGTCAAAGGTGGGAATACATACAAACATGGGAAGAACTTGGATTTATACGAGTACCATCGACTAGTAAAACCTCGCAGTAATAAAACTAAAGCGAAAAATGCTTCAATATACCAACCATGAAGAGTCATCGAGTTACAACTTGTTCAAGGCTTCATTGTGGTTAATCCACGCATGAAATGTGTATCCTCTTTCGCAAAAATTAATGACTTACTCATAAATTATGAAATTTGGTAAATTGGTAGCAGCTCTATTTAACTTAAATTAACATCAAAATTTGCATATTCAAAAAATAAATTTCGGACTCGGCACACTGTACGAAATGGAGCCACTTCCAGTAGCAGTCGCCGTGTCAAAAGGTACTTAATTTCTTTTGTTCCTGCATGAACATATGAGAGAAAATTTAAAAAAAAAAACGTGTGCCTTAAACGCATATACATTACCATGTAGATGTGTAAATGACCAGCTGCCCATAAAATTTTAAGTCTTTCTTTCTTACAATTCAAAAAATTTTTTTTTTCAATAAAAAAAAAAAACACTCATATTTTGATTAATATTTGGGAGTTGCTTAACGGCCAACGCTTGTAATTATAAAGATGCGATGGTCGCCCAGCTGTACAGCTAAGAAAGAAATAATAATAAAAAATTAAAAAAAAACTGTACAAAAAACTTGAGCGGATGCGTCGCACGGCAGCAATTAAGCGTGCGTCGTTCGATATTATCGCTGTATAGAGTGAACTTCGTACAAACACCAACAAAAAAAAGCAGATGAGGCTGAAATTGGACAGACAAACAAATGGATACAATCAATCTGATTATCCGCTTCAGCGTTTTTGGCTACTGTTTTACATTTTTTTTGCTTAAATACTTAGCTATGGTTAATATTTGTTTTTTTATTTTATTTTAACCAGCACAAGTGAATCATTTGTTCGCATGTGTATGTGTGTGTATGTGTGCTAATTATGCATAAATAGTTGCGGCTTTGAAAGGTTGACAATACTATAAAGCAGTAAATCAGTTATGAAGTTCCCAATGAACCGCGAATGACCGATGAACCACGGCTAGACGTCGCCAAGGTGATGTCGCCTATGTATGTATATTTTTGTTTATGTGTGTGTATGTTTTGCTGG